CCTACTATCTCTGATTGGATAAACCTTATTCAGAGGGAACAATATTTTTCTTCTTAGCCAGAGGAACAGGAACCAATACTATGACAAATAGAAATTTATACTCGAGACTTTTCTGCATTATCAAACAGAACAACAACTTTTTTGAAGATCGCTTTTGTCTTTGTCGGTTAAGGATATGGTTTGAAACCATTGCACGGTGCAACGTACAAGACCACGTGTGATTGCCACCCATCTCCTTTCAAAAATATATACATTCACAATTGTTTTATTAGCAACGCCCCACCCACCACTTTGATTTTCTGTACTTTTTTTGCTGTCTTTAAGATAATGTCTCAAGATCAAGTCTGGCTTTGTAGCCAAAGTTTTATCATTGAGGTTTCAACAAAGGACAGTGATAGCCCAATGAGATTTGAACTGTCATGTGCATCAAGGGGCCTTTGTCCTTTTTAACCTGGTTGGAAGTTGGAGTGAGAATTTTGAATGAAGTATCTCTAGGGTAAAATGGCTAATGATTTAAAGGCATATTGGAGCAAGCTTTTCAATCAGTGATGCAGCAAGCAGTGAGAGGGCAAATGCCATGATTAAAAGAGCAAGGATGTCTCACTGCAGTCACACATGGCCTTGGTAAGGCCATAATTGGAATATTGTGCGCAGATTTGCTCTCCTTACCTAAGGATATACTTGTCATAAGTGCAGTTAAGTTTCACCAGACTGGCTAGATGGATTGGCCATGCTAAATTGCTCATAGTTTCCAGGAATGTGCAGGCGAGGTGGGTTAGCAGTGGGAAATGCAGGGTTGTAGAGATAGGCAGGGGGGTGGGTCTGGGTGGAATGTTCTTCGGAGGGTCAGTGTGGACTCGATGGGCCAAATAGCCTGCTTCCATACTGTAGGGATTCTATGATTCCTAGGATTGTCATATGATAAGAGATTAGATCAACTAGGCTTATGCTTACTGGAGTTTAGAAGAATGGTTTCCCTGGCTGGGGCAGGGGTCTAAAACAGGGGCTCATGATCTTAGGATGTAGAGTAGGCCATTTAGGACTGATGAATTTTTTCAGATAGAGGCAGGTGAACTTGTGGAATTCTCTACCATAAAGCTGTGGAGGCTAAGTTACTGAATATATATTGAAGAAGTAAATCGATTTCTTGACTCTAAAGCTATCAGTGAGTATGCAGAGAGAAGGGGAGTATGATGTTGAAATAGAGGATCAGCTGAGATCACGCTGCGTGGTGGCAATGGGCTTGAAAGACCTTATTTATCCTTTTCCTGTGTTTTCTCATTGAACACCCACTGAATCAGAAGGTGCAGGATTCATTACAGATGCTCACAAAGATCTACAGCTCTGAATCTGACATCCGGCAGAACATAGCATCTGGTGGATGTGACTCCATTTCCCTGTGTAGTGATATCGGTGTAATAGGATATCGGTGTCAGTGGTATTTCTAATTGCCCCATGAACTAAGTGAAAAGGACATTTAAGATTTAATCGCACTGTGCTGCATTTGGAATCATATAGGCAAACAAGGTAAGGATGGTAGATTTCTTTCCCTAGAATACGTTAGTGAACCGGTTGTACTTTTATAACAATTGATCATGGTTTCACAGTCACCATTTTATTAGTTGAATTTAAATTTCACCAACTTCCAAGAAGGGATTTGAACCTATGACCCTCAGGATTACTAGTCTAGTGACATTACCACATTACTATATCCCCCATCTTCAGCTATGGTGCTGTTAATTAGCTGTTGACCTCTCGGACATGGATGCCAACCCAGTCCTAAATGATGGAATGAATGTTGGCACCTGCTAGTCGTAAGCGGAAATAAGTTTAGACTATCTCCATTGAACAGTAGAGCCTAGTGTCCTAGGCCCATTCATCGTGAGCTGCTTCATCAATGACTTCCGTCATGGGGTCAAAAGTGGGAATGTGCACTAGTAATTGAGCAACATTGAGGACAAACCACAGCTCCTCAGATACTGATACAACCTGTCTCCATACGCAGCAAATTGCTGGGCAGTAGGGGCAGATTGAAATTGTAACTTAACTGCCTGGCAATAGCCATTTCCACAAGGGTATTTAACCATCTCTCCTTGGCATTCAATGACATTACCGTAGGTGAATTCCCCACTATCAACATCCTGGGGTTATCATTGACCAGAAGCTGAACGGGACCCACTATGTAAATACTGTGGCTACAGGAGCAGGTCAGAAGAGAAGAAAGCTGCATCACGTAACTCACCTCCTGATTCCCCAAAGTGTGTCTCCCATCTACAAGGCTCAATTTAGGAGAGTGATGCAATATTTTCCATTTGCCTGGATGGATGTAGCTCCCACACCACTCAAGATGCTCGAGTCAATATGGGAGAAAGCAGCCTGCTTGATTGGCACCCGAACCGCTAGCTTCAACATTCAGTCCCTTCACCACTGGCACAAGGTGGTAGTAGTGTGTACTGTCTACAAGATGCCCTGCAGTAACTCCCCTTCCAAACCAATGACCTCTTCCCCCCAGAAAGACAAGGGCAGCAGATGCATGGGATGGTACCAGCTACACTTTCTGTTCCAAGCTGCCCACCATTCTGATTTGGAAATACAATACATTCCTTCACTGTCACCGGGACTATATTCTGGAACTTTCCTTCCAATGGGACATTGGGTGTCTCTACAACCAAGGACTACAGTGGTTCAAGAAGACAGGTCATACCACCTTCAAGGGCAATTGGGGATTGGTGGCTTAGTCAGAGATCCCCACCTCCTGTAAACACTCAGTGGTAAATGTTTTGCAGCCAAAAAGCTATCCTTGGGAATCCCATGCATAGAGACCATAACGATTGTCGGTACCTGTTCTGACCTGGTTTAGCAAACTTGTTAACACTGGAATGGCAGAAATATTTGCAATAATGCATCATGTGACCTCATAAAGCAGGACATGTGCTTTACTGGTGCAGTATGAGGTTTCCTTTTGAGGGTTTTATTTTGCTCCTGGCTGGGTTATAATATATTAAAATGTGAATTTTCTATTTCCTAGATATTAACACAGCTCACTCCCAATGGACACTGCAGTCTGCAGCAGGAGTCCTGTCCCTGGGTTTGTAGAGGGAAATGGCTTGTGACTGAAATCAAAAGCCCAGGAAGGGCCACCACCACTGCTACAAGAGGCTTCTGGTGTAATCGTAAGATCGTATGCCCCTTCCCTTCCCCTGGATTATCACACCAGAGAAAATAGTTTATTCTTTATCTGTTCTGTCAAATCTATCTCATCATCATCAGACACCTTGTTTTGTTCATCGCTTATGCTTCTAAACTCAAGGGAAAACAAACAAGTTGGGCAGCAAGACTTCTCAATTTTATTGTAACAATTCGGCCCAGGTATTGTTCTGACAGTCAAGCACTGGAGGCTTGAAAATAATTCTAACTGGAGCGGGGACAATTGTGTCAGAGATAGTAGGAACTGCAGATGCTGGAGAATCAATTGTGTGCTAGCTACCTCTATAACCTTGTTCTCATCTGGTTGTGGGGGATAAAAAAAAGCTACTGACTCGACTGGTAGGAAAGCTTTTATAGCAGAAATAAAAGCAGAAGGTGCAGGAGAAACTCAGCAAGTCTGGTAGCATCTGTGCAGACAGAAAAACAGAGTTAACGTTTCAAGTCGACCTCATGTATTAGAATCTGCACCTTCTCTGTAGCTGTAACACCATATTCTGCATTCTGTTCTATTACCCTGATGTACTTGTGTGAGTACCTTGTGTGAGGTATGATTTGTCTGGTTAGCGCACAAAACAGTACTTTTCACTGTATCTTAGGACATGTGACAATAATAAATCAAATCAAGCCCAATATGATGCTTTATAACTTTCTCCACTGATGCTGCCAGACCTGCTGAGCATTTTCAGCAATTCTTATTTTTAATTTCAGATTTCCAGCATCTGCAGTATTTTGCCTTTGCAGCTGCCTTTATTTTGAAAAACTGGAAACTTTCTTGTAGGGCGATTCAGTTATTTTAATTTTACTAACTCGGTTCACTGACAAATTGTTGTAATCTATTTTCCCTTTTCTATTCACTGTCATATCGATCAGGTTATTTAAAGTGGCCCTTTGTTCTTATAAAATGTTTACTAACAAAATGGGAAAGCTGGAATTTGAAAAGAGAGCGTGCAAATTGCATTTTATAAACGAATAGTACAAAATGTTTCCTAAATCATATTTATATGATTTTTTCCGTAACGGTTCTAAGTTTTTTTCCACCCTTCATGTTCTGAATTTCTGCTAAGTGCTCGATCTTCTAATATATATTTGTTTATAGTCAGACAGAAGCTGTGAACGTTTTTTTTAGGAAAATCCATTTTTCGATGCAGCAGTTTCCCTAGCGACTCTCTCGTTTGTCTGTCGCAGCAGAAATGCAGCGGGAAAGCCAGAATTAAAGACACACCATTAACCAGGGCGGGGAATGAAGTGATTTAAGATGTCAGCGGGGCTTCTCAAACCCCGTGCCCGCCGCCTTTTTTTTTAAACAGCGCCGAATTGGTGGGGGTGGCGGCCGAGAGATTTCAGTTCAAATCCGCAAAGGTCTTCAACAATTTCGGGAGGTTGCAAATAGAGTGGAGAGTTAATTGCCCCGAACTCGTTATATTTAATAACTTTTGTTTGGATAATCGAACGAATGCAGAAAAGTTGCTCCGCTTTAGTCAGCCGTCCATTTTCACGGGAGCTGTTGCTCAAGATTCTCCCAATTACAGACTAACTTTTGTGGGTTGTTTTTATTTGTGGAGGGGGAAGGGGTGGCTAATTTAACAGCCCCTTTGTTAAGAATGTTTGAGCTTTAGGGCTGTGTTCTTATTTTTTTGAAGAGGAACATGTAGTTCAGAATCCACCGCGTGCCCTAGATCGGGAAAGGCTTGCCTCCAGAATCATGAAATTACAAATAAGAATCGACTGGATTCTCTTTTTTAAAAAAAATGCATACTGATTGGCAAGCCCCGTGACATCACTGCTTTCTACCCCTCCCTCCCTTTTTTTACGGCTACAATCCGTGTGTGTTGTCCATGTGCCTTCAAGCTTTTTTTTGTGAATGTACCAGGTAGAGAATGATGATAATGTTAATTTGCAGAATCGAAAGAAACCTGGAATTGGATATTGACGAACACACAAACCTTTTTTGTTAGATTTTTACTTGAGGAAGAGGGGGAGGGGTGGAGGGGGTGGGAGAGAGAGAGGACAACCGGATTGGAAGTGTTAAAGGGCGGCGAGGAAAGTCTCGTCTCCCACCCTACCTCACTGTTTGATTTGCCTGGTCTGGTGTGTTTGTGTGCCTTTTTGGGGTCTTCGCTGGAGGCGCCGGCCAGGGATGGAATGTTGCAATCGCCAAGGTTCCAACGCTCGATACATTGTTGCCGTCCCGCGTTCCATTTTCGAACGTCCGGACATTGTAACTTCACCGCTTTGTAAGTTTCGGGCTGATCGCGGCGGAGGCGCTAACACGTGGGAACCCTCTCGCTCTCTTTCTCTCTCCTTCCCAAATCTAATTGTTCGATTCGATCTCTTAGTGCTGTGGGTGTGGATTTTAGCTTTATTTATTCGTGCAGATGGGGTTACGAGTTTGATTCGTTTGTGCGTGTTTTTCCCTCACCCTCTCGTAACCCCTGTTGTGTTTTTTGTTTGTAAAATAAATCCAATTTTTTTTTTTTAAATCCTCGTTTTGTTTCTTCCCTACCCCCACCCCCTTTCTCACTCCCCGTCTAACAAAACACATTTGGAAGAGGATAGATTCTGCACGCTGCTGCTCTGGCAGCTTGGCTGAAGTGCGCCACTTTTGTTAAGTTGAGTTGCAGCAGGCCTTTCTTCCGGCTTGTGGCCTTTCCATCGTTTCCCCCCCCACCCCGCGCTCCCTCCTCCTTTCCATCCACACACCCCCACCCTCCTCCTCCTGCTGTAGAAGAAACAAAGGCACAAAGTGCAACAGCAAGACTCGGGGAAGAGGGCAAAATGGGGTAGAGTGGGGCGGGGGGAAGGGGCGTCTAGGGTGGGGGGGATTAAAAAAGGAAGGCAAGCTGAAATCGAAAGGGGAAGTGGAAGCAATCGCGTTGGCGGGTGGGAGGTTAGAATGTGGACATTGACTGTAGTTTGCAAATCCCACCCCTCCCTCCAGACCTGACCGTGTGCTGTTCAAATCACAACAGACGCGCGCCTTTCTTACACACTTCCCTGCCTTTTCGGCGCATGTACTGGGCGCAAAGTTCACCGCAAAATCTCTTCCCTGAATTTTTCTTCCGCGGGTTATCCTTTCTTTTTTTCTCGGGGGCCACGCTTTCTCCGTCTCGCCGAACGCCCCGATTGTAGCGACTTTATTAAGTGAGCTGGGAATGAGCTATCTGCGCGCCAGACATGAATCCGACTCGATAGAAACGTACTTTTATTTCGGAAGCTTTTTCCTCCTCTATCTCTCTTTGGCCTCTCTTCCTCCTCTTCACACTCCCTCCCCCCCCCAATAATGTTTTACGTTTCAACTTATTTCTGGTGGTCGCCGGTACATTTTCACGGAACCTTCGTTTCATATTGGGCACGGTCTAAATAGAATGACACCGTCAACTTTCTTCTTAGTCATTTGTTACCTGCTCATTTTCCCCGTAAATTCTTCCTGGGGGAGGGGAGGAGGTGTGCTGCCTTTGACCTATTTTATCCGCGTGTTTGAGTATGGCAGTCAACACGTTTCACCCCTCCCTCTTAAACGTCCATGTGCTTGCCCTGGCCAGCTTCAAACTCATCTTTCTATTTGCAACAGACAAGAGGTTCATTTCTGAGCGTTGGGAGCGCCCCACCCGAGGATAACATCCCACGTGGATGCCCTGTGTCGCGTGGTCCCCGAGGGAGGAAACTATCCAGGTTATAGGGTTTCTGAGTTTAGTCTTTATTGCAATGTCCCACCGTTAAGCCCGAGCCACTGAATTGGGCCCCTAGTCTAAACGGAGAAGTTGGGCGGTCTGGTGAAAAGCGCGGTGGATTAGGTTGTTTTTAAGAGAAGTGCACGTATATTCTCACAGGAAGGAAGGACTGCTGAAGGCTACAAGGCCGCTACTTGGAGCAGTTAGAGTGGGGACGTGTAGAAAGCCAGAGTTGGAGAAAAGGGGATAGAGTCGAGCTGGTGGTTGAGGCAAAGTCAGGGGTTGTAGGTTGTAGTTGGAAGTGTTATAGTGATGGGAAATCAGGGCCCACCTGAGAGTGAATGCTGGGTGGATTGGAGGTTGACTGATCGATTGATTGTACTTGAGTAATTGATCAAGTCTGGGGAGGGTGGTGACCATTGTAAGGGCTTAGACTCTGGGGACATGTGAGATGTTGATGCTGGCCAAGGGTAGGGCATTTTGGAATGATTTTGGGTCCACCAGTTTGTGTCCGTTTCTGACCCAATCCCTGCTGAGTGTGTTTCTTAGACAAACGTGGATCACTCTCTTTTTGTGATTTGTTTTGTGGTCCCTGTTCGCCAGTGATGGAGAAGTCTCGCGCCTTTAAGTAAGTGCAAACTGTCTTGCCTAGCCATTGGGTAGCATGGTGGTCAGGTTGCTTATGACTGATGCTGGTGTGGGGGCCCAGCATGAGTCTATGCCTACATCTCTGTCTGCTTGCTGCTGTTCTGAAGATGCCCAAGTAGTGGGAATGCAGCTTGACTATATTTTCATTAAGTAATTTACTACTGTTCCAGATCCCATCACTTCTTGTTCCTACTTGACAGAAAGCTGCATTATGGGGATCCGGTCTATTTGCATAACCCCTTGTGACTTGTCCCAAACATCCCAGGGCTGTAACGCTCTGTATTTAATTTTGTGGTGTTGTTAGCAAGTCACTGTTCGTACAGGGTGAATTAAATGATAGAATCTATTATCTGTTTTTGGCCATGGTGATTAAAGACTGTTGATCAGGATGATCTCTGTTCCTTGCATAGTGTTGTAGAATCCTTTATTGCTTACCTGAGCCACAATGGACAGTGCAGTATCTGCTCAATACCATCTGAATTGCCTGTGTGGAGCGATTGGCCTCTGAGCCGTGTGACCAGGGTTCTGTTGGCACTGCAGTGCACTCTTCCCAAATGCAGATACTCCAGTCTGGGTGGCATGGGAGATGAAGTCCCAATTAAGCTAACGATGGTCCTCCTGGCTTGCGCGCCTACAATCGTAGATGGAGGTCATTCAGCACTGACCCTCTGAAGAGCATCCCACCTAACTCACTCTCTTCTCCCCCCTGCCAATCCCCGTAACCCTAGGTTTTACCATGGCTGATCCACCTAGCCTGCATGTTTCTGGACATTACAGGGTATTTTGGCATAGCCAGTCAACCTAACCTACATGCCTTTGGACCGTTGAATGAAACCAGAGCACCTGGAGGGAACCCATGCAGACTGTGCAAACTCTGCACAGTTGCCCAAGGCTGGAAGTGAACCCGGTTCCCTAGTGCTGAGGCAGAAACGCTAACCACTGTGCCACCGTGCTGCCCTTGGTATTGACTTGCAATGTTTCAGTTATGCCAGCAGGCTCTTCTATCTGCTGCACTCCTACCAGGAATGGGTTGGATCAGGAGACAGATACTACCCTAATGTGGAAGGCCATGACTCTAGTGCAATCTTGTTTTACTTTGTAGTCCTGTCTACAAAGTTGTGCTGCATTGCACACAGTGCAGAACCAGCACATTAGTGATTAGTAAGATTCCAAGGGAATTACTCCTGGTGTGAGTAATGGTTCCTTACTGGACCTGTATTCTCTAGAGTATTCAAGAATGAGATGATCTTGGCTGAAACCTGTAAAATACTTGAATAGACAGGGTAGATACTGATAGGATGTTTCCCCTAGCTCCAAATGTAGGGATTTGATCGTAGATGTTCTTCAATGTTGAATATTACTATATTCACTGATTTTACTCCTCTTGACGGCCGTGTCTTCTGTTGAGATGCAGTCTCACTTGGCTGGGCCAGAGTCTGCAGTGCCAGACACTCCATTGCTTTGAAGTTTCACCCTGGCACCCCAAGTTAGCATTGGTTCCCATCAGAAGTGAAAACCCATTTTGTTGCATGTGGCACATAGCAGGAGAGTCGCTATTTCACGTGGGAGTCTGGACTGGCCTTCGCCCTGATGTTTTTCGGTATGACTTGTTTGGGATATGGTCTGGAATAGAGTCATGTATGCTTTCCATCCTCTGCTCTCTATCATTCCCTTCTTGTCCAGGGTCAATGAGCCCAGTTGTGCCTAACAGTCCAGTTGCGCTGACACTTGTAATGAGGATGGTCTCCAGTAATGATGTCCCAAGGTTAGTATGAACAATCAATTTTATTCAGCCTTAGTCATCACCACAAGCACATTGTGGTTGTTGAGTGTTGATGTTTGTGAAATCTTGATGTCATATCCTACAACACAAGTTTAATTATCTATAAAGCTCTTTGGGACAACTGTCAGCATGTAAAAGGTGCTATATAAATGCAAGGTCTGCTCCTTTTTTTAAGGATGGGTCTACAAGAATAAAAGAATAAATCTTCTGGAAGTGTTTTCCTTTTAGGTGTTTCTCCCTGCTCAAGTGGTCAGCCTGGACTGGCTGTTTAGTGTTTGTGGTCTGGGCTCATATGCAGGCCATGAGTGGGTATCTTGACAGGTTGAATGGTCTTTTTCCTGGCATGAAGGTGAGGGAGGTAAGTTGAAATTTATCATTGGGTGAAGCTGCAGTAGGCTTCCTGTGCGTAAAAACTTGTTCTGTCTAGATCTGATCTTCTGTTGGTAAGGGAGATCAACGTTAGGGGGTGGAATTTGAAATCTGGGAGGTTGCAAGGAGTTTGCTGGGCCATTCTCAAATGGTTTTTTTGTAAATTTGGTTCTCGTAGCTGGATAGGGTTGAAAGGAGACAATGTCTTTCATTTAACCTTTTTGCCCTCTCTTCTCATGTTTCTCCCTCTCTATTCTCTCTCGCTTCTCATCCTCCCAACCCCTCCCCCCAACTCTTCTTGCAGGTTTGTTTGTTGGTTGTCGCTGAAATGTGGTTCCAACTTTGCTTCCTTGTCGGCTGTTGTGGCTTTTGAAAGAATTTTGTGGAGAGATAACTGCATTGGGACATAAGATTTCCTTCTCTTGGCAGGATGTTGCCGTTTCATAGCTGCCTCCTGCTATTCTAACTGGCGTTTTCTGTTGTTTAGTTTGCATGCAGGAAATAAGCAGTGTGGGTATTTTCTGTTAAATATGAGAGTGCTAGATACTAATGTAGGGAGGGTATGTGTCACTGGAAACAGCTGGCGTTCAATGCCTGGCAAATGATCTTTGTGTGTAACACCCAGGATTGAAGATAGTGAGAGCAGGAAGTAGTGTTCAGATGGTAGCAAGTTTAAGTTTTAAAAGCTTATAGATGTTAGAGGGGAGGAGAAAGAAAGAACTAAAGTTCCATTTGATTTAAAGGATGAGCTATCTGAATCTTATCAACTCTTTTATTTTTATTTGTCATTAAAATTCAAAGCCCTTGCCAAATGTTTGATCTTGATGAATTTTGTCTGTTCCACTTTTCTTCCCCCTTCTGTATTCAAAATGATGTGTGACAATCAAACTGCCAATAACACTTGGTATAATCTCTAGTTTGTGCTCTTCATGTAAGAGCACTGTTAGGTTGGCTGGGCTTGGGTTGGTTTATAACAAGAAAATGGTTGGGCCTCTTAAGATTGGACCTTCAATCTGGTTCAAGATACTAAGATAATCTTGATCTGTTGTTAACTTCAGTTTACTCATCTAAGTGACTAAAGTGATGAGCAACTCAAGCTATTTGATCGTGGGCAGTCAACGTGTTTCCTAGTCATTGTCAAAGTGAACACTGGCCTTTTCCTTCCTGCAATGGATTAATGTTCATTTAACACTTGCTCCCTTGAACCTGAAGATTTGTCCCTTTTTTTTTCCTTTGCTTTTGTAGTGCAGATTGGTACCAAATAAGAACTGGCTATAAATGTAATAACATCAAATCCTTTGAGCAACTGATGACAGTGAAGGGCTACATTTGGCCTCGAATGTTGGGCCTGAAGCAAGGTTTTGAGATGCAGTCATAGTTTCCCTACCTCTGAGCCTGAAGTCTGGGCTTAAGACCTTCTCCAGGTCTTGATGGCCAAGGAAGGTGTTTTCATCCTGTGTCCAAACAGGTTGAGGATCAATCTTCCAATCCTGCGAGGTGGTAAGAGTGGGCAAGATTCCTGGCCAGCCATGCGATGGAAAGAAACTTGAGTTTCTGCCTTGTCTGTAGCTCCAGGTACAGTATGCAAGTGAAAGGAAACGTTGGTACAGCAACTGTTGATTCCTCAGAGAGGAAGGTAGGCTAGATGGACCATCTGGAGCAAGCTCGTGCCAATAGCAAGTGGGTCGATCCCCAATCCACCTTGCATGAGTGAGAGACTTGGTGCCTTGCCCTACCCTGGTGGAAGTCACAGCGTCATAGACAAGACCTTTGGGACTGGGAACTGAGGAAGAAAGAACAGCATGCCCACATCATTATCACTTCCCAAAGAATGACTCTTCTTGTACCAAGCATCCATTGTGACGGGTGATAACCTGAAGGTTAAGGCTGTGCACAGTGAGTTCTTCTTGGAAGGTCTTGGTACTTAACCCTGCCAGGTGCTCTGAACAGCTAAATGTGCTGGTTTCTATGGCTTGTTTATCCCTGCAGAAACATCGAACCTACTTTGAGTTGAGGTGTGTTTTCCCACTTTTTTTTTTCCTAATATGGTACTATTTATGTTGTTTTCATTTTGTGACATCCCAAGAAAAGACAAGGGGATTCTCTCCTTCCCCGCGCAAACTCTGACAATTGCTGAAGCAGCAGTATATTTGCGGTCTATGGAAAGTACTTCTTCTGATTCCAACTGAATCGGGAGTTGGAAGGGCCACTTTCACCTTAAGTTTTTCTACCTAATTTTCCCTTGCACCGCCTCTAATGGATTGGCCCCATGCTGGCATTTAGTTCAATGGCGGATGAGAAATGCTCAGTGAGCGTGTCATTAGGTTGTATGACTGGAAGGAGACACAGGATCTCTGTAGTGTTGCAGAGTGCTATCTGCCAGAAGTAACCTGATAGGAACTGGGAGTAGAAGATTTGTTTTGTTCTGTTTTTCCTATTCCCTTAATCTGGAAACAAATGTAATTGCTCCTCCATTGTTATATCTCTGCTCATGTTGAGCCAGCTATCTTTCTCTGTCACAGTTGCAGCTCCTGTTTGAGTTCACCATGGTACATCTGACTATCAATACTGATAACTTAGCTGCTTCACACTGTCGTCTAATAACACCTCCCAGTAAACATTTCTGAAGATGCTATCTGTACAAAAAGAAAATTAGCTTAGTGTATAATTTCAGATAAGGTGTTCTGGCCAGTTCAGTACTTCAGTATTTCAGCTGGATTTTCCCCTTGCAAATCTGGATGGTACGTTATATCTTGACCTTGTGTCAAGCCATTTCATAGGGCAGTATTATTGAGTCAGTCCATATCTTGAGTGGGCAATGAGTTGCAACCTTTATATTTGATGTTTTCTTCCCCCGACCCCCCACTTTCATCTCCCCTCCAAATATGGAAAACAAGCGTGTAAAATCGGTTTGTACTGGCCCAATCTCCTAACCCAATTGTAACCCCAGTTGTTGGTTTGAGGCATGTGAGTATGCTATTTTAGATTTTGTTAGTAATATTTCACCAATAGATTTGTGGTGGTTGGGGCCAATCTCGAAAACCTGTTTAAATTAGGATATTTTTATTTGTAAATTGCATGAGGTTTAATTTAATCAATTTGAAATTCTCTGCCTGGGCCCACAGTTGTCTACTGGGCTATTGATGATTTGATTTGATTTGATTTTCTATGCACCTTAGATAAGAGGGTGTACTGTCAGCTTAGTGATTATCTGTAAGGGCAAGACAGCCTGGCCTTGTCCAGTGTACCTATTTTGCAGCATTTGTCTGACTTGTCAGATGTTGCTTAGCTTAAAAGAAAGACGTGCATTTATATAGTATCTTTTTGCAATGTCAGTAAATTACTGTTTGAAGTGTAGCCATTTGGAATGCATCAATCAAACTGAACAGCACTTGACCGGATCATCTGTCTTTTAAGTGATGTCTGAGGGGCCAGGATTATGCCCACCAGAGAAGGCAGGTTTGGTGTCCACTTAGTATCTCCATCTGTAATTCTGCACTCCTTCGGTACGGAAATTGTAACCCAGGTTTTGTGCTCAAGACTTTGGAGTGAGATTTGAACCTACAGCCCGCTGACTCAGAAGAAAGCACGCTCCTGTCCAGCCTGTACCGAGTGCTTGTATTTTTGGGGCTGTTTTTCTATCCTTGAATATGATGGTGATTGAATCGAAATTCAGTGAAGGCTGCAGAGGAATTATGATTAAATTCCTTTTTTGTTTCAGGGCACCTAGAATGTGGTGAGCGTGAGTGGGGAGAAGTCGATTGAATAAAATGGCTAACTTTTGAGCAGATAAGGTGAGTCGTTTATTTGTGTTGCCTTCACATTTTAATATTAATCACAGTGCTGGCTTGTTGATGCATCTCTCTTCTCCTCCTTCTGTGGCTCACATACTGTGCCTTATCAGAACATCACCACCCTTACTGCAGGGGAGGACTGCACACAGACAATAAACTCAGATAGGGCAGACTTTTAAAGCCCATGTAACCCAGACCCATACCTCTTTGCACTTAAAAAGGATGAGGCTGTGATCTGGTAAGCCCAGTGACTAATGGTTTTCACAGATAACATTCCCATCTGTTCACTTTAGTGGAAAGCAACTGACTGGCTTGACTTTCAGGAATGTCCTGATAGGCAGTTTCAAATGCTAATCTCTGTTAAAACCTCCAGTCACCCCTGTATTTCTAATTTAGTGGGTTTGTCTTCTTTGAACCTCCCAAATACTCAAACTTTGGAAAGGTCCTTTTTAACTTAAAAGGTTAAATCTTCAATCTGAACAGCAAGAGCGGTTAGATATCGTTGACTTGAAATGGAAACATTTTAAGGAAATATGGACTTGGGCTTTTTTTTCTGAATCAGTCCGTCCCTCTGAGGTGCTTTAGCTCCTAACAATCTGACCTATAAAAGCACACCATTCTACCCTCCACCTGTGACTTATCTGCACAGTTAAATGAACAATCTCCTTCAATTGCAAGTCGCGATATGCAGTGGATGATCCTCGTCAGAACCTGGATTGACACAGCTCCCGTAAAACGCTGTTTCCTCCTTGTACGAGCTTTTTGAGATGACCAAAAATGTTTCGTGGCAATGAGACGTATTCTAACTCTTGCTGTTTCATGGCCTGTTTGCTATTTTGTTTAAATTTTTGGTCCTGTTAATTGCTTCACACTCTGTGAAAAATGAAGTTCCTGCGCCGTGGAGACCACGGAATTGCTAGTTTTTATCCTCCATCTCTGTTCCACTGCTACCCCATCCAGCTCCGCATTATCCAAATGCACAGTCGATGATAGATTCCAGTAACGTTGCCACAGGCTAGAGAGCAGTAGTTACATGGCTTCTCCCTTCCCTCCTTTTTTTAAATTGGTATTTAGTTATTGAATGTAAAATAATTCCTGAGTTCATGGATCTTAGGAGAATTCTAACTAATGCAACTGGCAGGTTCTTCCATACTTAGCTCCAGAGCGGAAAAGTATTAGGTTGTAAACTCTGTCTATTATAAGTACTGTTATTTTCCCCATTTCCATGCATTAAAAAAAATGCTCAATCCTCTAGGTTCCTCTGCTTGCCTGTTGTACTGCTGTTTTTGACATCATGTGTCACGGTGCGCAGATACAGTCTTACCACTTCCTTCTTTGTCCAGCTCCCAATTGACAACTTAAAGGAGCTGTAGCACTTGATGCTTGCGAGGAGTGCTGAGTACACATGAGACAGATTGAGTGAGTGGTTTGTGTAGTGTAAATATTTCTGTTGTAGAACAGTTCAAGACTGCTTATTGGCAATATGCCAGTAGCCAGAGAGTTGAACTGTGTTTACAGGTGTGCTTGCTGCAGGCACGAGACAGACAGAGTGGAGGAGGGGTGCTGCTGAAGGGAAACTGCTGTGCATGTAGAAAATGGAGGGAATGGCTGCCTAATGCCCTGTGCTCTGGTACAGAACTCCACCCCCAGCTGCAAGGTCTTGGCCTATAGTTTCCTCCATGCATGGGATAGAACTGGTGGGGGAAGCTGCAGATTGCATTAGAGGGTATTAGCGTCAAGTCTTCAGACACGGTTACTGGGTGTTTTATCAAACTGTGGGGAAAATCTATGTAAATGAGTTCTCCCAAATTGCTTTTTAGCCAGTGAAATGGTGTTTTAATATAGGAAGCACAGTAAGCTCCTAGAAACAACAGCATGAATCTAACGTAATGTAACAAGGTGTAGAGCTGGATGAACGCAGTAGGCCGAGCAGGAAAGCTGACGTTTTGGGTCTAGACCCTTCTTCAGAAATTGAAGGAATCTTCAGAAAAAGGGTCTAGACCCAAAACGTCAGCTTTCCTGCTCCTCTGATGCTGCCTGGCCTGCTGTGTTCATCCAGCTCTACACCTTGTTATATCAGATTCTCCAGCATCTGCAGTTCCTACTATCTATGATCTGTTTCTGTAATGTCAGTTGAGGGGAAGAGTATGGCTCCTGGACACTAGGTTTCACTGGCCTTGCCCTTTCTTTGGAGCCACCTGAGGACAAATGGAGCCTCAACAGCCTCTGTAAAAGATGGCACCTCTGATGCAGCACCTTCTTGGCACTGGAGGGATGATGTGCTCGTGCGTCTGGAGTGGAAACCAGCAAGGAGCTGATGTGGAGGCAAGATTTGTCCCACGATGAAACTAGATTAGACATCCTTTGGATGGCAGAGATGGTGTGGGGACAGTGAGTTTCCAGTCTTGTTGGCTTCGAACAGTCTGTCTCTCGCACACACTGACCCTAAGGTCAAGAAGCGCTGTCCATTGTCTTCATTGGCAACTTCAACCAAGGTGATGACTTGTCGTTGGAGTGCAGTCTGAGGAAGAGCCAACTTGTGAAGGCACAATTACAACAGAAACTCACTTGTTGTCATTGCCCATTATCAGCCGAACACACCAGTCTGTAGTAGAGCTGACTTTGGCACGAATATGGAGAAAGTGCTCCTTTCTGTGAAAGGGACACCAATGGAGGAGCTGAAGGGGATTGATAACTGGGATTTTCTGATTTGGGATTGCGAGTATTAGTTGTGTAGTGGTGAATGCCCAACCTGGAAAGTCTGTTTCTCTGTTGTGGCGCCAGAAGTCATGGTCGGTCTGACTGACTGGCGCGGATCCTGAGTGTCCCTGCAAACATCGCTGCCGTAGCAACCCAAGTCACGCTTATTATCAGTGCCTGGAGACCGCTTATCCAGTCCCTCTTCATCCTCTGTCCTTCACGTCATGTAGGAAAATCCCTGGGTTTCTTTTAATCTGGTGTTAAAGGCCCTTTTAATAAACTCGGTTCAGGGTTAGAACCGAGCAAGTCAAGATGTTTTGATTGTGAGAGAGAGAGAACAAGTTGCTTGTTGGGAGGGGGAGAGGTGTGATTTTTTTTTTCTTAAAGGCTACAAAATGGGAGTGGTGTAGAAAGATCTTTGACCAGTGCTGACATGATGGCCTGAATGGTCCTCCTCTGTTCTGTAAATGTCTGAGGTGCTAAGTAGAGGTCTTCCAGGTTCTCTGTTACTTCCAATGTAAAATAATGACTCGAATAAGCTTGTCACGTCTTTCTGCTGCTCTCTCATCCTCGTTAATAAGGGCACCGAAGAATCAACTCTCCCAACAGGAGGAGCTGGACCAAGCAAGAACTCTTTAGAAGGACCTGGGTTGTTGGCACTGGTGGTAAAAAGCAGGTGAAAGACTGAAGTATTTTACATTGATTAGAAATGCGGGGCACTAGTCTGCAGTAACTGGAATTTAATTGGTGCAGGCCGACTTAGAAAAGGCCAGAATAGTCAGAGTTGGCAAATCACAGCTTACAATTGTGTAGTGCCTTCATAAATGCAATCAATCAAATTGGCACCAAGCCAGAGAAACGGGCACAGACAGGTGACCAAAAGATGGGTTTTTAAAGACAAAAAGGTGCAGGGCTGGATGAACACAGCAGGCCAAGCAGCATCATAGGAGCAGAGAGGCTGACGTTTCGGGCCTAGACCCTTCATCAGAAACATGTTTTTGAAGGAGGGCGAGAGAGAGATTTAGGTAGAACAGTACAGCACTTGCACCTAGCTTATTAAAGGCTTGGTGTTAGTAGCCAGATGTTTTTATTTTTGAGGGGAGGATTGCTGATTGGATGCCACTCCGTGTTCACGTTGTGTAGCAATGTAAATGAGATGCCCAGATGCTGGAGAAGGTGCAGAGAAGAGCCGATGCTGCTCCATGTGGAATGAGAAGTCATAGCTTCAGGCTAAAGGACGGCAAATTTAAAGCAGAGGTGAAGTGGAATTACTTCTCTAAGGGTCGTGAATCCGTGCCATTCACTCTCCCAGACTGTGTGGTGGGCACCGGGATGGTGAATGTATTCAAGGAGGAGATAGATGTATGTTTTTGGTTTGTAATGGGTTGAAGGGTTTTGGAGAGCAGGCAGGACAGTGGAGTTGAGGCTGAGCTGAGATTTGCTACGATTGTAGTAAATGGTGGAGCAGGTTGAGGGGCTTGATTTACCTTACTCTGGCTCTTAGTTCTTGTGTTTTGATGATCAAGTGCAAATCATATGTGACAGGATTATGTCGGATTCACAATCGAAGGATTTATTTAAGGAAACCTTGGCTGGTCGGTGGTCTATGGTGACATGAGGTTTACAATCAGAACTGCTGAGGGGTAGGAGCAGTGATTTTCAATATGTACTGACTGCATGAAGTTCAACAAAATAGGATCTGTGTTCAAATAGTGACCCCTGGCAGAACTGTAAAATGAAGCCCTTTCATGACCTCAGCACACCACAAAGGTCTTTCTGGCCAGTAATGTACTATTTGACACCTTGTCATTAATGTAGGAACCACTGCAGCAAATTGACACACAATAAGTGGTCAGGTCCTCTGGCTTTAGTGTGGTCGAGGCATTAATGTTGAGCAAGTCACTGGAATTCTCCAGCTCCTCAAAAAATCGCTGCGAATTCTGTACTTACCAACCAACCAATCTTGGGTGTGGATGGGGGTCCCAAGTTGCTCCAACACAATGCAGCACTCCTTCAGTACTGTAGCAAATTGCAAACTAGATTTGGTGTTCAGCTTCCTGGACTGAGACTGCTGATGCAAGAGAGTGAATGTTTCTAACAGGGTCCTGGCAACACTCCTCCTTGACCCTGACCCATTTTATAGTATTGCCTTGATATCTTGTTGATGTCCTCCTTTTAAGACCATATAATAGGCTGCTCGTACTTTCAAATAACACAAAGAACACCTCCTCAACTAGATGCACGCGTACACAATATCCTTGAATGGTCACAATACAGAAGGAGATCGTTCTACCCATCCT